ATTATCGCAATCCTAGGCAGACGCGCTGTTTCAAGAGTCCCTTTATTATTGCATGTCCGAGCATGAAATCTCCACTGCTGATTCATAGACGTTGCACCTAGTGTAGCCGTTAGAACCTCCCTTGCCTCCCTCTCATCTACCTACCTTCGGCCCGGGACCACTCCCTCCGAAACCCGACCTCACTTCGTCACGACATCATCCCAAACTTCACCGCATCATCGCCCAAGATTCAAGCTCCACAATCCGCCAATGCTCGAGGCCGTCGCGCCCTGAATATTCACATATACAATGACGTCGTCATCCGATGCTGTTGCGGATGCTGCCGGCGATGCGCGCGCAGCTGCCGCGGGCTCCCTTCCGAAGCAGCTCCGAGGCGACGGCGCCAGCCCATCCAACCTATCTATCAATCAGTCGGATGAGGGATTCAACGAGCGGTCGCCGCTGCTAAGCAGCAACAGCGAAGACCAAAATGATGTCCCAGAGGAATCTACTCCGCGTGGGGATATAGACGACAGCCAGACAACCAAGAGCATCTGGTATCTCATCCTTCTGACCATCAGCATCGGTGGTCTTCAGGTCGCATGGTCCGTCGAGCTGTCCAATGGCTCGCCATATCTACTTTCCCTCGGCCTCAGCAAGTCGCTCATGGCCTTGGTGTGGATTGCAGGGCCTCTCACCGGCACGTTGGTGCAACCATATGTCGGCATGCTAAGTGATAGCTGCCGTCTCCCATGGGGCAAGCGGAAACCCTTCATGGTCGGTGGTTCGATTGCAACCATTTTCTCTCTTCTGTTCCTGGCCTGGGCAAAGGAGATTGTCGCCAATATTCTTGGAATTTTCGGCGCGGATCCAGAATCGGGAGGAGTCAGGACAATTACCATTATCGTTGCCGTGATCGGAGTCTACGTTCTGGACTTTGCTATCAACACTGTCCAGGCCTCCATCCGTGCCTTCATCGTCGATTGTGCGCCGGCTCACCAACAAGAGGCTGCAAATGCCATGGCCAGCCGTATGACAGGCTTTGGAAACATTGTGGGATACATTGCTGGGTATGCCGACCTTCCAAAACACCTGTGGTTTCTTGGCAAGACCCAGTTCCAAGTTCTTTGCGCTCTCGCCAGCATACTTCTTGCTTTGGCTATCTTCTTGAGCACCACAATCCCCGAACGAGATCCTCGATTGGAGGGGCCCGTCCAAAAGGATAGACCAAATGTCTTGTCCTTCTTCTTCACCATCATGACGTCGATCAAGCGTCTTCCGCCTCAGATCAAGCGGGTATGCCAAGTCCAATTCTTTGCCTGGATCGGATTCTTCCCGCTGCTATTCTATACATCCTCGTACATTGGAGAAATCTATGTCGAACCCTACCTTGAAGAGAACCCCAATATGTCACCGGCTGAGCTTGACAAGCTTTACGAGCAGGCAACCCGCATCGGCACTTTTGCTCTTCTTGTAAACTCGATTGTGAGTTTGTGTACCAACGTCTTTCTGCCTTTCTTCATTGCACCGACCTATGACTCGCGGCCTATCACGGCTGAAAGCGTCACTTCGGACCCCACAAGCATATATGAGAACGATGAAGAGCCTTCGTGGTTGGATCGCCTTAGAATCCCTGGACTCACGCTCAAGAGAGCTTGGTTTGCGTCACTGGTCCTATTCGGAGCGGCCATGTTTTGCACCGTCATTGTGCGAAGTGTCAACGCCGCAACTGCTTTGATCGGCCTTGTCGGTATCACATGGGCCATGACTCTTTGGGCACCGTACGCCATCATCAGCGCCGAGATTAGTAGACGAGATGCCAAGATCCGGGCCAGGAAGCTGAGAAAGCTGGACCTTGGGTCGAATGCTGACACGGCTACTTCATCGGCAATTGGCGCTCAGGTCGGTAGAGGTGGAGGCTCAAGTGATGATTCGGAAGAAGAAGAGGAGGTTGACCAGGCTGGAGTGATTCTCGGAATCCACAACATGGCCATCGCCGCGCCCCAGATCATCGCGACGCTGGGCTCCAGCATCATCTTCAAGATCTGGCAGAAGCCTCGCGGAACACCCGGTGACCACAGTTACTCGGTAGTGCTTGCTCTTGGCGGCGCATGCGTCTTTATATCTTCCTTCTTCGTGGCCAAGATCAGAGACAACGCGTCCATGCCGGCTGATGGCGTCTTCGACGCAGAGCGAGGTCAGGTTGGCCATGACGACCCGACTCGGCCTGGAATTCGCCGCAGGAAGTCTAGCTACGAAGCACTGCCGAGGGCAAGCGTGGGACGAGCGACGTTGACAAGGAACAAGAGTTTTAGCGGTGCGGATAGGATTTAGCTTTTACACCATGAACAGGCGCCGGTATTGGGATATGGATTGCATCTATGAGTATTCAAGGGGCCACAATCTTTTCGTTTTTCTTGGGTAGCATGGTTGGTTCACGGCTTGCATCAAGGTGGAAGGACATTTGCATGAGGCTTTGGGTTTGGATCTAGAGATTCAACAGGATACACCTGAATGAGTTGAGATTTTTGACACGAAGTTGTGGACAGAAAGGAACTGTCTACTTTTCCACTCATCTTTGATGTCCCAGAATGCTTCGTTTGCAACTTGCGTAGTTCCCATGAGCTCTCGCTGTGAGCCAAGCGAGTTTGACATGCCACCCCCCTCTTCATTGTCCTCAGCCAGCCCGCTGGTATCTGTTGGACAATCATTCATTCATCCACGACAGTTGAAACGGTCGCACTTGGCCCACACAAGCCTATGGAAGTTCTCGTCTCGCCAGGTAGTGGGCCCTTTGTCGGGTCGAGGGTGGTGAAGGGGACGAAGAAGAAGCACCACGACGTGCCCTCGGTGTCGCAGTACGCGTAGTCGCAGTGCCGGGAGCTCGTAGTGGTGTTCGGGATTTGCGTCGGCGGTTCCGGAGGCGCGGTGATTGTGATTGTGACGAGGGGAATCGAGACCGAGGTGATGGGATTCCCGTTTGTCAAGTCGGTGATCATGACGGCGGCCAGGAGAATGGCGAAGGAGTGGAATGATGGCATTGCGATGCTGTTTTGCTCATATATTATTCTCTCTCAATATTTCGTACAGTGTTTAAAGAGCGGATGGAAGTGCGTGAGTGACGTTCTGTAGTGTCATATCAATCTTCATCTGCAAATCATCCGGCCACTTTGGAGTTGAATAAGAAGTCAGATTTCAACAGCGACAGACTCAAGAATCTAGGGCAAAAGACAACACATTAATACCACGAAAAGAGCTACAACGAGCTACAAAAGGAAGCGACTCATGACCGTATGTTTGGTGTTTGTTCACAGGCCGACTCAGCATGTGCCCATCGAAGCGAGAAACGGCCGTCTTATCCGTGTCAATGCAAGCGAAACAAGTGATAATGCCGAGATGATGTTGATACCATTCTCGGGCCTTTTCCTCATGTTGGGAAATCACTGAGATACACACACAGATTCGTGCGACAACGGCAGAGCTGAGCCAAGACGGAGCACTTACACACCAATCTTGTCGAATAGCTTCCCCCAAAAAGTGCCCATCCCACCACCGATCCAAGCTGAATACACACTTGTCCGGCCAGTTAAGCCATGGCCCTATTCGCAGCCTTGATCCACAGCGTCACGACAAGCGACACGCCCAAAATCCACGTCGCACTCCTCAGCGCCGCGCGCCGGCGATTCGTGCACAGCCAGACGTACGCGACGTTGTAGACGACGCGCGTAGCCACGTACCCGAGCGTCAGCAGGTTGAGCGTCGCCACGGGCACGCCCGAGACGTTGGCGGCCAGCACGGCGGCGGCGAAGAAGCCCAGCGTCTCGAAGCCGTTTCCCGAGGCGGCTTTGGCGCGGAGGACGCGCTGCTGCGTCTGTTGGGGTTGTGAGCCAACCGTAGCGTGAGTGTATGGGAAGGGAGGGGAGTGGAGGAGGGGCTTACCACTTTGTCGAGAATGTCGGACTTGGCGACGCTGTGGTCGTGGTTGCGAGGGTTGGCGTTGTCATAGTGCACGCGTGACGAGAGGACGGCGTAGGCGTGTGGTACGGCCGCAGTGAAGAAGGCGGCGGGGACCTGTGGTGATGGCATCAGCTGAGTTGTCGTGATGGTTCATGAGTTGGAGCTGATGTTACAGTGTAATATGAGTAGTTGCGTGAGAGAAGGGAGTCCATGGTGAGTGAGTGAGTGAGTGAGAGGATGAGCCGTAAGGGACTCCAGTACGAGGTTGCAAGTGACTATTTATCCATGAAGCATCAAGACAACTTTGCACGAGGAATAGCTGTCTACATGTATTAAATAAGTGCCCCGTCCCCGTCCCCATCACGTTGAAGTTTTGCTAGGATCTGGCTCAGCTACAGAGAATGAAGACATGTTAGATTAGCATAACCGCCTAGATCCCAGCCGTGGCTTTGTTTGTTGGGCGTTATGGAGTCGCAGGTCCACCTCAACGTCCAAGGCGGCCGGCTTTATTATATAATTGCCCGTTTACTGAACATCGCGGTCCGTCTTGTCGAGGATCTCTGCAAGATCGGCCTGACACTCGTGGGATTCGGCTGCCGTGCCCGTCCATCGCTTTGAGTACTCATCTCGCGGTGACGGGTGTGTAGGAAGCATTCGAAGCTAATGGTGGACATTGCCAAGAGCATAATGCCAACATATTTCAAGGACCGACTCGGTATCTGCTCTGTCGACTGTGCCACATTACTATGCCTATGTCCGTGCTGAAGTTACACATACCTAGCGTTACTCATCTAGACAAAGTGCGGTGCGCTCATAACACCGATTGAGAACAAAGAACCTTCTTCAGAGCCTCGAATATGGTTATGCCGAAGGAAAAGACCGAACGCACAGAGGTCGTCAAAAGGTACATCGGTACTCGGCGCCCCACTTATTATGTGTCTGTTCAACGTCTTCTTGGTTCACGTTCACGAGCCGATCAGGGCCGCAGAGCATCAGAATATCGATCAAAATACAGAATTTGACAAAAGATAATCATAGAATTAGTCAAAAACGCCAAAAAATGAAGGTCTCGGAGGGAGTCGAACCCTCGCTGGCGGAAATTTCGGACTTAGCGTCCTTCAGAATCCGCAGTCATAGCCGTTAGACCACGAAACCAAACTGGTTGTTTTTGATGCAGGGAGGTCAACTAGTACTTTCTATATCCTATTGGGGCCAGCCGGATAATGGCATGGCCTGCGCACAAAGTGGGGCGACCGCTCTCCTGCAACGTCCGACATCCAACCGCTTGACACAGAAACAAAGGACATGAACCGAGACTAGTCACAAGAACAGAGACACCATTGAACTGCGAGGCGCTACTTTTAATAGCCTTTACGCGTCATCGTGCAGGTCTGTCTCAACGACGAGCCACCAAGTACCACTCAATCGTAACCATTGTCATAATTGTCAAGACAAGACATCACAGTATTCACGCCACTGATTGGATAAAACTGTTTTTCTTCATTCATGTTTGTTGACTTCGATTCCACTCCCTGCGGGTCTCACTCGAATCCCTCAAAGCCCGTTGCTAAATATGTACAGCGAATGTAAAAGGCAGGTATCGAGACTGATGTACGCTTTGTACGTGTCCATAAAAATGACCAAAGAAACCAAATGAACTCCTTAGATTCCCACGTCGAAGCCTTCGACGGGTCCGGGTATCCTCCCCCCAAGTCTATCCACTCATATTGTCATCACCATTTTTCTTGTTTGTTTTTGTTCATGTCGCTTAGGCAAGGTAAGGCTTGCGGATGTAGCTGCGACGCGAGGCGTAGGGCGAGGTGTAGTTGCTGGCGCCCTGCTGGTAGACCTTGATGGAGTTGATGGACCAGTAGGCCTCAGCAAAGGCCGACGGGTTGTTGGCGACGTAGTCCTCGCACGTGTCGGCCAGGGCCTTGGTCTCGGCGTTGTTGTTCCAGACCTCGGAGGCGCCAGCCCAGTCGCCGCAGAAGGTGGTGTCGACAATGAGGTTCTGGTTCTTGAAGTGGGTGTCAATGTCGCAACCGGAACCGCCGTTGAACTTGGCAACGGGCTGGCCCCAGTTCGAAGGGTCAGGCTTCTCGCTGTTGATGTCGGAGGGGATTTGGCTGCGCTGGAAGAACCAGACGGAAATGGCCTGCGAAGTCCACTCCATGGCGTAGACGCCGCCGCCGATGTCGTTGAAGCCATCACCGTAGTTCGAGTTGTCGGCGGTGTCCATGCCGCAGCCGGTGCCGGCGTTGTCAGTGTTGCAGTCGGTCTCCTTGAGGGTGGAGGAGCTCATGGAGCCATCGTTGGTGATGGAGCAGCCCTCGCTGGTGTGCAGAGTGACGGTGTTCTTCTCCTGAGTGTTGACACCCTCGATGATATCGATTTCGCCTGATGAAGGCCACGAGGGTCCAAAGAGCCAGAGAGCGGGCCAAACGCCAGCAATGCTGCCAGGCATGTGGGCAATGTCAGAGATGAAGAGACCGTGGGTCCAGGACTTCTGAGACTCGACGCGAACAGACTTGCGACCGTTGGCAGGGTTGGAAGTGGTGGAGTCGACGCCCATGTAGATGGCACCGTCCTTGGAGCCGGCGAGACCGTCCTGGGCGGCGGTTTGGTAGTCAACATACTCGACGAAGCCGTGGGTGGGATCCTCTCCGTCGAACATGTTGAACTCCTCAAAGAAGTTGGTGGAATCGTAAGTGGTCTCGAGAGTGTAGGCGGCTTGGGCAGCTCCACTGAGGAGAGCCGAGAGGCCGAGGACGAGGGCGGTAGTGTGCATGGTTGCTTGCAGATTCTCTCTGAAGTGGGTTTGAGGTATGTGATGCAGAAAGTGAAGCCAGTCACTTTGTGTGTTGTCTTGGTAACGGAGGTTGCTTGAGGTTGTCTAGAACAGGTCGTGAAGTCGTTCTTGTATTCGTGGAATGCGATGATGCAAAAGGGAATGGATTGTAGCCGAACAATTGGAACAGAACAAAAGTCGTGTTATAAATGAACAAGCTAGGTTGGGGGTATTGAACAGCGCAGCTGAATGAATGTGTTGTTGTGGTTGGGCAAAGCAAAAGACAATGGTTGGTCAATTGTGTGTTGAGTGAGAATCCCTAGTCAATAGAGATGGAACAGCAAAACAATAGAGATGGCGTGCCAGCTGCCGAAAGGATTGAACGGCCGAAAGACGGGCGATTGAGAGAGTGAATAAGAGAGAGAAGCGGTACCAGACGCTGTAGAGAGAGAGACCAAATCCGGACAGCCTCGAGGGGGAATGTGAGCCATCTATATACGCCAACCACACACACCACACACACTCAAAGGCGTGGGCGTGAGTGAGATCTCATGGCTGGTAAGATGTGGCCTATCAGAGCCCAGGAAGAGTCTCGGCTGGGATGTAAGTGGCCCCTGAGCACGCAGCCGCAGCCGCAGCCGCAAGAGGCTTCGTGTAAGAGATGCTGCACGCTGGATCCAGACAACGCTAAGGCAAAGGCGGACAGGGAGTCCGGACGCGAAACTCACGAGTCAGAAGTCGGTATGGTTTCGTTTCGTTTGCTGCGTCTCAGACACACGCCCCTCTTCCTCTGGCTCCTCCACCTCACGCCCACTCTTTGTCCAGCCCCTCGGATCATCAAGAAACACCTACGATGGAGAACTCCCTTATTCCTGGACCAATATTGGCCCCAGCAAAGATGATTAAGAGCCGGGAGAAGCACTCGCCTCAAGACTCGTAAGGTCCCTCCGAGTTTGGGACGATAGCTCCATTCCATCTTCGGGACTCCCTTGCAGTCTCCATCCATTAGGGTTCTTGCTACCGGTCGAGACGAGGCCAGGCAAGGCCAGGCGTAGAGATGAGGTACGCAGGTGCGTTCCAGTGCATGTCTGGGGAGTCGGGATGCGGGCAGTCAGTCGAATGTACCAAGTCTGCCCCAGTGGAGAGACCAAGCCATGGTGGTCGGTCATTGGCGGGTGATTCACATGTGAGTGAAACTGCGCCAGTGAAATGCTTATCATTCAACGGTGGTGGCTGAGGCTCAGGCTGTTTGCTCTCTGAACACGAGCAGCGGTAAGGCCACTGCAAGGGTGAAGAGAGACAGGTTGTCGAGGTCCCTGACTAGACCCGCCGTGTGTCGGACTATTTTCAGGGGTCCCTGCCTTGCTGAGAAGATCTTTGACAGGGAAGGAAGGCAGCGAATCGCCGCCTGCCAACTGGGGACAGGAGCAACTGCAGTGAGCCTCAGGGGGGAAAGCACGGTCGAGAGGCCTAGCCTGCTTGGGTCCGGAGTTTTTTTAGGGGGCCTCCACGCTTCTGAGGGATCAGTTAGGCAGGTCCGGGCTATCCCCCACTGTTCCGACCCGGGGCTGCTGTAGCGCCGTTGGATTCGGCGAGCCAATCAAGGCGAGAGGTTGGGCACTGTGGCACGCGTCGACTGCGGCAGACTTTCCTCGCTCCCAACAGGCACATGTCACTGCCACCATCTCGCGCTTCCTACTGGACGGCCCAGGAAAACCTCAAACATGGATTCATCTTACGAATACCCATCCCTGCAGCTGATGGGAAACAGCATCCCTCCGATGAGCTTGGCGTTAACTATCGGTTTGTCGGCTGTCGCACCTTAAGCTACCATTGCCTCTGTCAGCAGGGGTGAGAAAGGTGAAAGCCCTCAAGTGTCAAGATGGCCTTCTTTTCCCTTTGTTGCTCTCCACTTACATGCACAAACCAAGGCGCCGGACGCGTGGACTTTGTGCATCTCGTGGTCGACTCACCAGATCACAGGGAGACGACTACGAAAATTTTACGTGAATAAAAGTCGAGAGAACAACGAAGCAGAGACGTCAAAAGAAGACGCAAGCAACACAGGGTCGTGACGAATCCTACCTCCACAATCGCCAACACCAGCCCTAACGCTTCTTTGCTCCCACGCAAGGGTCACGGCCCTATGTCGGCAGGTTGATGCCGAGAAGAACCCTGTCCTCTATGGAGGATTCCAGTCGCCGTCTCTTTTATTTACCGGGATACCGCGGATTTGCTCAACACCGACGACGGATGGCGGGTTGACGGGCTACGCGCTCAGCTCAAGGAAACGGTGCCTGACGGAAGGGCCAAGGTAGAACGTGAAATGGAACGGGATGAACGATCGTCGCTGATACGATACGACGCCAGGCACGTCCTTTTGAAACGGAGACAAACCCCCAAAACGACGCACCTCCGGAACCTTGGGTCGACTTTTACTCCGCAACCAACAGCAACCATCCTGGTAACGAGAGCGATAGTTGCAGGGGGCTTATCGACAGACGGGCGACAAAGACTGGGAACAGACCAGTGAGCCATGAGAACTTGAGGTGCGGATGGAAAAAAGCAAAGGGTGACACCCAAGACTGAGATGGTACGTTTCAAACGACTACATCATGCAAACTAAAGTTTTGTTCCTGGACTCGTGCAGCTGCGTGGGTAACGGGGTGGATGATTCTGTCTTGGACACGACTCTGGAACTCTGTCAACTACGTGTGCACTTGCGTGGTTGATGGGTAAGCCCAACCTCCTGACGACAGAGAATGCAAGGAGAGACAAAGGGAGAAAAGGGAGAGGATGCAAGGTGGTTGACCGACGACCAACCCTCCCCTCAACCTCTCCCGTATCCGAATGGAGAAGTGTCTTAGAGAGTCTTGGCTTCTCACCTTGTCAACCCCTCATCCTCTCGCTCGCCGCCGATCCTCCAGCTTCCATGTTGCATCTCCCGCCTTCTCTCCACTAGCCAACCACTTGTCGCGGCACGAGTATCAGAACGAATCCGCAAAGTCGTTCTCCCCGAGCCTTCCATCCTTCTCACCGTTCGTGGCGCTTCCGGATAGATTAATAGGCGCGCGCATTAAGACACACTGACATGACAAGGGCGAATCTCAACGCCCATGCCGAACATCTGAGCTCGTATATTTTTTTGTATTGTTTCCTTGATCTCGGTCATGCACGACATGTCCACTCCCGTCCAGCCTCGGGACTCTCGCAGCCAGTCAATCCGCATCGTCACATGGGGCAGCGCCTGCGAACCTCGAATGCATCAAACATCACTCACATGCGAATTGCCGCCGTAGTGGGAACTGATGAATCTGGGGTTTGTTCGATGGGCGTCTAACTTCCAAGTCGACAAAAACAAACCCAA